GACTTTGTAGCCCAGGTTGGTCTTGAACTTGCAACAAACCTCCTACCTCAGCCTCTCTAGTACTGGGATTACAGGCATGCACTGCCACAGCTGGCTCAAAAAAAAATTTTTTTTTTTCTGTATATAGGGCAGGGTCTATAGAGTATTTAGGTAGAAGGTGTTTTGTTTTGCTTTGTTTTGTTTTTTTGGAGGCCCGAAGATGCCTTTAGGGTTCGAACCACAGAAGCTTGAGCTGGAGGGCTTTGTTTCAGCAGGCACTTAAACAACTGAGCTATTGGGCAGGCCCCCAAAAATGGTAGAAGGTTTTTTTTTTTTTTTCTATAGAGTATTTAGGGTCTCACTACGCAGATCAGACTCATAGAATCCTCCTGTTTATAGCCTCTCAAGTGCTGGGATTACAGTGTGTGCCACCATGCCTAGTCTCAATCACACCTGTCTCAGCACACCCTGGGCGCAGGGCCAGCACAGCAGGGGATCAAACCCCATCAAAAAAATTTTAACAAGGGCTGGGTATGTAGTTCATTGTAAGGGCCCTGAGTCACTTGCCAGTACTACGAAAACAATTTATTTTGTAAAGTATCTTTGTGTATCCTGGGGTGTTAGGCGTGACTGCATGGAAGTTGGGGCTCTGAACAGCACCATGTGCCCATCTTTAGGTGCGGTGCACCTGCTTTAGAATTTCAGGCACTTATGAGGCCATGTAGGTGTATAGCTAAGTGTTGTGCACAAAATGGCCCAGCTGTGGTGCTCTGTGCCTTCATGTGATAGTGTGTGTGTTTGTGTATCTGTCTGGATGCTGGTATGACTGTGTAACTCTCTGGACCTTCGTGTGACAATGTGTTACTTGGGTATGGTCCAGGTATCAGAAAGGCTGTGTCTCAGGGATTATGCGAGTGATGCTGTACAAGCCTTGTGGTGTAGTGTGTTGGTGTGACTGTATAACTCTGGATACTGAGGTGATGGTGTGACACCTTTGTTGGATTTGTTTTATGTATTTAGTACAGGGTCTATGGCATCTCACTACACAGACAGGACTCATAATGATCCTCCTGTTTTCAGCCTCCCAAGAGCTGGGATTATAGGTGTGCAACATTATGCCCAGTCTCAATCACCATTTCAGCACATGCTGGGGGTGGAAGCATGGTTTGTGGTGCCAGGGATTAAACACCAGCCCCTAGGCTCTGCCTATACAGGCGCTTTAGTCCACTGAGCTATCTGGCCAGCCCTATACACCTTTGGACATTGTCTAGGTGCTATGGTCTTCTCTTGAGGGTCACTGGTGGCAGTGTATGAGCCTGGGCATGTCTGGGTGTCAACAGGACTGTGTGACAGTGTCTGAGTGACCTTGTGACAGGGGCACCTGTATTGAGGATGTGTTCTATATATGTATAAACTCCCTGTGATAAATGTAAACATTATGTCCTGCAAACGCACTTTTAAAAAATTTTAACTGTTTAAAAAATAATGAAACACAATGGTCCACATCTGCCACCCCAAAATTCAAGAAGCTAGAGGAGGACCATGTGGGTGTGGCCATGTGTGAGTTGGGTGTCAATGGACTGTGTGTCTGGGTCGTCTGCCACACACAGTCATCTTCAGGTGGTGTCCCCCAAAGCAACTCCCTCGGCCCCTCATGCTCACCCTGGCCAGCAGTGGGCTCAGGCAGCACCACATGTGCGTGTAGTTCCTGCAACTGGCGATGCAGCAGGTCCAGGCGGCGCGCAGAGCCACGAAGCAGCAGCTCCACGGGGCCCCGGCCTCGGCCCAGGTCGGTGGCTGCACGCCGCAGGTTCTCTGCACCCTCCTTCAGCTTTAGCTCCTTGCGGATCTCCCGCCGCAGCCGCTCCCGTTCCAACTCCAGCTGCTGCTGCACCCCAGGTGCCGCCAGGTCTGCGCCTGCCAGACCCAGGTGCTCCAACAGGGACCAGGGCTCACTCTGCGAGATCACAGGCTGATCAGAGGTGAGGGCCGGGTAGCAGCCGCCCCTCCCAGGGCAGCCTAGCTTGCCCAGCCTCCACTCTGCACCAGAAGCCAGGCTAAGGCCTGTTCCAGACCGTTCTGATCCCCAAAACGGGTGAGATGGGCCTGCTCTGACTCCCCCAAAACTGAGATGTCAAAAACTAGGCTACCTAACAATAAGGGACCCCACAGGTCCAGCCCCATCTCCCCATATGTCCCATGGAGAGTGGGGTTCTGAAGGACAGAACCCAGCGCTCCTTCTGCCCCCCCACACCAGAAGTTCTGAAGAAGAATTACTTCTCCCATCAGCTGCCACCCAAACTAGTGGGGCCCAGGGGCAGGCTCTATTTTTCCTCTGCTATCCCCCTAAAGTAGGTATTGTTTTCTGGTACTGACAATTGATGCCAGGGCCTTTACGCTGAGATAAATCCCCCCAGGCTTTTTTTTTTTTTTTTTTTTTTTTTTTTTTGAGACAGGGTCTTGCTCTGTAGCCCAGACTGAGCCCAAACTCATGGCAATCCTCTTGCCTCAGGCTCCAGAGTGCTGGGATTATGGGTGTGGGACACCACACTCAACTAACCTAGGAGATCTTAGGGAAAGGTCCCTTCTTTCTTCCCTCTGGTGTAACCCTCAACCATAAGATGCCAGAGAGAGGCCCTGTCTTCTCTTTCTTGTATCCCAAGTACACGGCCTTGAGAGACAAGCTTCCTTCGTCCCTATTGTACCCCCAAAGTAGGAGGTCCCAAGAGAAAGACTCACAGTCCCTCTCGCCTTTTAAAAGACTTGGGACCCCGAAGAACAGAGCCCTGTTTCCTTCCTCTATCTCCCCAACCTGAGAGCCCCAAGGGCCCAGATATTTTCACCCTCCACCCAGGCAGCTCCGACACCAGTACCCAATCTACTCTTAGTCTCAAACCCAAAGCTCTATAGGCCGGGGCCTCTCGGTGCATGAGGGGTCCCGCTTTTGCCCACCACAGAAAGACCCAGCCCCCACCTCCAGCTCCAGCTCCGAAGGGGGATCAGCCTCCGCCATCCTGGGCCCCTGCTGAGGGCCCCGCCCTCTTCCTGGACCTCAGTCCTGCCAGGGCCACTGGGCCGCCACTTCCTCTTTCCTGCCAGCTCCCAGCACCCCCTGCGCGCCTGGCGGGCCAGCTTAGGAGTAGTAAGAGGACCTCCTCTCCAATCCTTCCAGGCTGCCTCCTTTTCTCTCTTGGGGGCAGCCCAGGGATGGCCCTCCCTCCTGTCACCAGGAGGTGACAGGGAGTACAGGTCCAGGTGTGAGTGGCAAACAGACTCCACATGGGTACATGGGCTGAAGGGAGTGACTTCACATCATGGGCTCACTCTTGGGCACATTCACATGTCCACCTGAACACACACTCATGTGCAAGTACCCACGAGTGCTCCTGTGCATCACTATAGAACCTGTACAATGCACACCTACACACCCCTGCTCACACCCGTGTGCACATCTAGAGCTCCACAGCATGCCTACACTCCATGAGCCTTCAGCCCTACTGCAACCTGAATACATCCCCAAAGACCACCCCCTCCCGGTTCCCAACTTCCCCTCCAGGACAGAATAGCCAGTTCTGCAGAGGCCAGGCCCCCTTCCTGCCAGTGGCCTTCCGACTTCCTGCTTCCTCCTGTCCAGACAGCCACTGTGCAACCACAGCCTAGGGCCCTGGGGCAAACACTGTGCTGCAACAGCACCGGGGCTGGGGACAACAACAGCCCCCACACAGCAGCACACAAACCACCTGTCAAACACACTAGGACTCAACTATTAACAGTATTACAGGGTAGGGTGCAGCTCAGTGGCACTACACTCACCCAGCATGTACAAGGCCTGGGTTCCAGCCCAGCCCAGCAAATAATAATAATAATAGCAGTTACAGCAAACCTCCCCCAGCTCACATCACACGTGCACTAGGATCAACCCATTTTCAACACAAAGAGATGTGGCCAGGCACGTGGCTCAGTGGTAGTAGGGCTCTTGCCTAGCACACACAAGGCCCCAGGTCAGACACCAGTGTCACAAGGGGCAGAAAATGAGGAAATTAAGACCCAGAGCAGTGACATAACTCACCCCAAGGTCCCAGGGCCTACAGGAGGTGGGGCCAGGATTTAAAACAGGAGTGTTGCACAGGGAGTGGTGGTGTACACCTATAATCCTAGCACTTGGAAGGCTGAGGTAGGAGTATCACAAGTTCAAGCCTATCCTGAGCAGGATAAGGAAATCCTGTCTCAAAAATTAGTTTTAAAAAATAAGGGGTATAGCTCAGTTTGAAGCCCCTAGGTTCAATCTCCAGTGGAAAAAAAAAAAAAAAGGCACACTGAGAATCCCAACCAGGCTGAGAGATTCTCATGCTCCCATCCACCCTTATGAACAGCTGTCTCCAAAGTGGGTCCCAGAGCCACTTCCCTTCAGGGTGCCCCCACCACTCCTGGACTCTGTAGGGATCGAACCTGTCCCTGCGCTTGCCAAAGCAGGCACTTAGTCCACTGAGCTATCTCGCCTGTCTTCCCCCCTCCTACTGTATACATGAGGAAACCCTCAGAAAAGTGACAGCAGTCCCTCTCCATAGGTGGGGATTTTGTCCCCAGTCCTGAGGGCAGGTGGCTGTGCCTGGTAGTGTATAGATGGCATCTATAACAGTGCCCATGAATGGTGTACAACCTCCTACAGTACCAGTTGCAGACCCCGCCACAGAGAGAAATCCAGCCCCCCATGTGGGCCATGTGAAGGCTACCAGGTGCTGGGCTAGACCCAGGATCACACATGGGCTGGGGACCACTAAAGATGTCACAGCAGCCTCACCTCCCAGCTCAGAGGGCAAAGGCATTTGGCAGGGCGCACACAGCCAGGAAACGTCATCACTGGAGTGGAAACCCGGGCTCACCTAATCCCACCCTGGCCCATGCAAGCCCCACTTGCCACCACACTGCCAGCCCCACCCTGTCCCCAACAGACAGTGCCAGCACACAGCCAGGAGCATGGCCAGCTCAAATAGGGAAGGCCCAGGAGGAGGGGTGACCTCCCTCAACCCCAGCTCTGAAGCAGCAGAGGTTCAGAATATGGAAAGCAGGGAGGGAAGGAGGCTGGGCCTCCTGGGTCCTCCTCCCTGTGGTGACTCACTTCTACCCAGAGACAAGGGGTCACCTGAGGGCCAACAGGGCAAACTCAGGAATTGGGCCTGGCATAGCCTTAGAGAATCTCTGCACCTCCACTTCCCATTGTAGATGAGAGGGCACTGGACCCAGGGTGCCCACCTACAGGAAACTCTTCAGAAGGGCAGCCAGAGACCTAGGCCCCCTTGTCCAGAGATATCACTGCTTTGGGCTTTTCCAGACATCCATTTGCAGGACACAGAACAGACACAATGGGACAGAGAAACAGGGTGGCAAGCCCAAGCAATCACTGGGAAGGGGTCACCAAGACTGGGGAGAGTGAGGACATGAGATGGGAAGGGGATGGGGCACGGATCCAGCCTCATTCCGGGGATCACAGCCTCCATGGGGGCAGGCGTAGTTCACACCAAGCGCATGCAGGCACCAGAGGTCCCATACAGCTGTCCCTAGATGTGGGTGGAGGCAGGGACTCTGGCCCATCCCGGCCCCAAGGTCTGACCTTGTGTGATCGGCAACACCAGATACGCCCAGCTCCTCCGCAAGGCTGGCAGGCCATCAGCGGGACTGGGGACAGGGACACAGAGGAGATGGGGCAGGTGTAGAAGGAGACGAGAACACGGTTATACAGCAACCACAGGACAATGGACTAGACAGAGAGGTGCTCACTCGGGAAGCACCAGCCCTATGCCTCAGGTCTGGATCAAGGAACCAAAAGGAGTGGGAGGTGGTTCATCTGGCCCGTTCTGCACAGAAGGTTGAAGCTCCTCGCCCCCAGGTGGCACTGGGTTAGCCACAGGTAGAGGAGAGGAAGATGACCCAAGCCTGCCATCCTGATGCGCAGGGACAAGAGCAGAATTCCAGGGACAGGAGCATCACTACCCTGCTGAGCAAGAGACCGCACCTGGAAGCAGGTGCCACCTGTCAGCCTCTGCAGCTGGAATGGTGGGTGCAAGGGTCCCCAGTTCCTGAATCTAATGAGGTGACTCGGGCACTTCCGCCAACAGGTGCCTATCTGGGAGGCGTCTGCCCGCAGGCGGGATGGCGGGTGGCGCGCGGGGCACCTGTGCAGGTGAGGCTGAGTCGCGAGGAAGGGACGTGAGGGTCTTGGGGCACACAGCGGCCGCGCCCACGAGCCTTCCCGCGCCCCGACGCTCAGGCTGGGGTGCGCGGGGCCGTGCGGGACCATCTCCTCTCTCCGCCCCCGCCCTCGGTCCCGTAGCGTCGCCTAGCCGTCGCCGCGAAGGGAACGCAGGTGCGCCTACCTGCACGGCATCGCTGGCCATGTCCGCGCCGCGCCGCGCCGCGCCCGCCGGGGTCCCCGCGCAGGGAGAGGCGAGCGAGCACGCGTGCGCGGACGGAGGATAGGCGGGGCGGGCGAGGACCCCCGCGACCCGGGC